CCACTGAGCTAAATCCCTGGCATGGAATTATTTTTTTAAAAAATAATTTGGAAATGAGATTTATTTGTAATTTTCTAAAAATTTCAGCGTGAACAGACCTACAAGAGAAAGGAAAATGATTGATTTTCTTTAAAAACAAACAAAAAAGAAGAGATGCTTCTAGTTAGCTCTCCAAGGAAAGAACTCTGTTTCTTCAGAGGTTGACTTTAGAGGTGTTTTGTTCCTCTGCCATTTTCTTCCTTTTCCTTTTCTAAACAAAAATTCAACTCTGAACAGAAACTCCTAAATGAAAAGCAAGCCCACCTTTTCTCTACCTACCTCTAAAACTGAATTTCCATTTATGTATTTAACAACGCCTTGTGTACAAGTGAACATATGTATGTAAAATAGGAGCGAAACTGGTATTTATTCAACTTTTAAAGCATGTGATGGAAAATTAGCCGCTTTGGAGCCCCTCTTCTCTTTGCTGTATCCCTCCACAGATGAACAGAGAAAAGAGGCTGTGTGGGTTAGGCCTTCAGGTGTGTGACGCTCTTGCCATCTCTACAGAGCCCTTGGGCTCCACAGAACCTGGCTTGCAAACCACTGGTCTAGAGGATTTCTAAATAAGGCGCTAACACTAAACTTACAAATATTTTTTAGGTCTGGTGAGGAAGGATATTATCCTGAACTTACAGAATTTTGTGAAAAGCGCCTTCAAGGCTTAGCTCCTGGGAGTAGAGCTCTGAGGAAAGATAAACCTGCAGCGACAGCATCCAGTTTTACAACGGAAGAATGGGAAGAAATTGATGGGGACATAAAGGTAGAGGGTAACACAGGTCTTTGACAGACATTGCAGTGATGTTGTAGATGTGTCTGCTTCACTTAACTGAAATCTTAGGCTTCTTGTTCGTCAGTAAATGGCCCTTAGTGGTAATTACTTAGGAAGTATCGATTTCTTCTTACACCTAGGAAAATATTGTGAATTTGTGTTTGCACATGTATTTTAGATGGCTAGATAATACTCCATCCTAAAAAGAATTATAATTTTTTTATGTTTAGCAGCAGTACATGTTTGCGGTACATAATGATTACATTCATCATGGGGAGTTGGTACCTGTGCATAACACACCTGAATTCTAAAAGAATCATAATTTAGTCAGCTTCTATAAATAGTGCTCTATAAACATGTTTATTTATAGTTTTGTGGTCTTTCTTTGCACCTGCCTGATGATTTCCTCCAAAAAAATTATTAGAATTCGAAGTATTGAGCAAATTACTGGAATATTTTTAAGGCTTTTGGAACATTCTCGTATTCTCACACTGACACACCAGGAGGGTGTGTCAATTTTCAAGGTGTCCATTTTCAAGTTCTCTTCAATGGGTACTGTAATCATCCAACTGATTTCATAGTTGAAAAAATTATAGTATTGTATTTTTATTACTAGTAAAGTTGAATTTTTTTGATCTATTACTTGAATTTCTTCTTTTGTTAGTGACCTGTTTGTATCTTTACTCTTTTAACCAGCCTTATTGAGGTATAATTTCTATTCAATAAAAATTACCAACCTGGGGCTTAAGATTTATTTATTTATTTATTTGGGGCGGGGGGTGTGCCAGGGATCAAACTCAGGACCTTTTCCTTGCGAAGCAGGCCCAAGGGCCCGAGTTCAATCCCCAGTACCAAAAAAAAAAAAAAAAAAAAATTACCAACCTAGGGGCTAGGGATTTAGCTCAGTGGCACCGTGCCTGCCTTGCAAGCATTAGGTCCTGAATTCAATC